CACATCGAGTGGCTGCCACCCGCACGACCAACCAGGGCCGGGGACAAACTGCAACCGAAGTACGTGCCCTTAGCGGGAACCGAACCCGGGTCTCTCCGGACCGCAGGCCGACGCTCTAACCGCTGAGCCAAACCGGCCAGGGCCCTAAGGGATTTTCAATGTTGTTTTGAAAATACAATTTTTTTTTTTTTCAATTCATCTACTGACTTTACAAATATAACTCTATTATAGTGCCCTTGCTTATGTAAGTCTTCTATTAAACTGTAAACACTTTGAAGGCAAAAGCCATCTTAGAATCTTCAGCATTTATCATGAAGCTAGGTATTTAATTTTTTGTTTTTGTTAATTCTCACCCAAGGATATTTTTTCCATTGATTTTTTAGATAGAGTGGAAGGCGGGGAGAGAGAGAGAGAGAGAGAGAGAGAGAGAGAGAAACATTGATGTGAGAGAGACACATCTATTGGTTGCCTCCTGTGTGACCCTGACCAGGATGGTGATCAAACCTGCAACCCAGGGATGTGCCCTTCATCGGAAATCAAACCCAAGCCCCATCAATCCATGGGCTGATGCTCTAACCACTGAGCCAAACCAGCTAGGACTGAAGCTAGGTATTTAGACTTTTATGTACTATCACCACCATTCTACTGAGCTGGAAATTTTTTGTCACCTGTTACTATGTGGTTTGTGTATCCTAATTAGACTCTAATAGGTATATACATTTCATCACAATCAGTAACCAAACCCTAAATATTTTACTTTCATGTTCTATCTACAAAATGTCACTGTCCATTTATTTATTCACTTGTTATAGCTAGAAATCACCTCTTCCTGTCTATGCCCACCTTAGCTGACATCTGCATTATCTCATCTGAACCATAACAATAGTATCCCAATTTACTTTTCCATCATTAAACCTTCTTATACAGTACTGTCAGTTCATCTGTTTTTGTTACTGAATAAAATTCAAAGTGGTATACATTCAATAGCTATCATTTATAAGATAATTGATTTATGAATATTTTCTCCTTTTCATTTCCTTGATGGTGTCCTTGAAAGCACAAAGTTTTAACTTTGATAAAGTCTAATTTATCTCTTTTTATTTTGGTTGCTTATGCTTTTGGTGTCATATTTCAGAAATAATTACCCAATCTAACTTCATAAAGATTTACCCATTTTCTTCTTTAAAAAAATTTTTTTTTCTTTATTGATTATTTTAGAGAGAAAAGAAAGGAGAGAAAGAGAGATTCCCAGCTGGTGTGGCTCAGTGGTTGAGCATCGACTCACGCATCAAGCGGTCGCCGGTTCAATTCTTGGTTGAGGTACATGCCCAGGTTGTGGGCCCGATCACCATGCAGGAGGCGGCCAATCGATGTTCTCTCTCATCGATGCTTCCATCTCTCTCTCCCTCTCCCTTCTTCTCTCTCTAAAAATCAATAAAGAAAAAAAAATGTAAAAAAAAAAAAAAAGAAAGGAGAGAGACAGAGATAGAAACATCGATGAGAGAGAACATCAATTGGCCACCTCCTGCATGCCCCACACTGGAGATTGGGCCCTCAACCTGGACATGTGCCCCGACTGGGAATCAAACTGTTGACCTGTTGGTGCATGGATTGACACTCAACCACTGAGCCACACCAGCCAGGCCACCCCCTGTTTTCTTCTAAGAGTTACATAGTTTTAGCTCTTTAGGTCTTTGATCCATTTTGAGTTAATTTTTATATATTATGTGAGTAAGATCCAGCTTCATTCTTTTTCTTTTTTTTTAAATCTTCACCCAAAGACTTTTTTCATTTTTTTGTTCAGATAGAGAGGGAGAAAGAGAGAAAGATAAACATTGACATTAAAGGGACACATTGAGTGACTGCCTCCCTGCACGACCCCAACCAGGGCCGGTGACAAACTGCAACCGAGGTACCGGAATCGAACCCACGACTCATTGGTCTGTGGGCCAACACTCTAACCGCTGAGCAAAACCAGCCAGGGCCAGCTTCATTCTTTGCATGTGGATATCCAGTTGTCCCAGCACCATGTTAAAACATCTGTTCTTTTGCCCTGGCCAGTTTGGCTCAGTGGTTGGAGTGTCGGCCTGAGGACCAGAGAGTCCCGGGTTCGGTGCTCACTAGGGACACGTACCAAAGAAAAAAAAAATCTATTCTTTTCCCATTGAATTGTGGCAAAAATCAATTCAGTATAACTAAATTTATTTCTTGATTCTCAATTTTATTTTATTGATCTATATGTCTGTCCTATGCCAATACATTGTCTTATCATCCTTTGAAGTAAGTTTTATTTCTTTTATTTTTTTTTTCATCCTCACCCGAGGACATTTTTCCATTTTTTGTTCAGATAGAGCGGAAGAGAGAGAGAGAGAAACCTCGATGTGAAGGGACACATCGAGTGGCTGCCACCCGCACGACCAACCAGGGCCGGGGACAAACTGCAACGGAGGTACGTGCCCTTAGCGGGAACCGAACCCGGGTCTCTCTGTACCGCAGGCCGACGCTCCAACCGCTGAGCCAAACTGGCCAGGGCTGAAGTAAGTTTTAAAATAGGGGTATGTAGGTCCTCCAACTTTGCAAACATTTTCATTTAACTTTTTTTTAATACGTTTTTATTGATTAAAAAAATGTTTTTCCTTTACTGATTTTAGAGAGAAAGTGAGAGGGAGAGAGAGATGAAACATCAATGAGAGAGAACATCGACTGACTGCCTCCCACATGCCCCTCATTGGGGACTGGGCCCACAACCTGGGCATGTGCCCTGACCTGGAATCGAATTGGCGACCTTAATGATACTCTGGGTACTAGACATTATCCCCATGGAAACTTAATTTTAGCTTTCCCACAGGCAAAAAATATTTGGTGGTTGCCCAGGATTCATACTCAGATCTATATAAAGCTGACCCATTGGCTATGCTCCTTCTAGAATCCAGTCCCAATCTACCTTCCAGACTTAATTTATGCTAATCTCCCAATGGACCCTAAACTATCTCCTATGCTGTTCTACCTCTGAACTTCTGCTCCTATTGTTCCTTCTATCTGAAGTGCCCTGCCCTCCATCTGTTTCATAAAAGTATAATTCATAAAACCTTCACTATCACTTGGCAAAGTGATCCCTCTTCTCACTCTATTTCCTTAGCACTGCAAGCCTCTCTCAGCTTTTTATTCCACCTTACACCTTGTAATAAAGATATCTATGTATATGTATTATTTCCCTTCCTAGGTTACGAATAAGGACCATGTCTCATTCTACTTTGTACTTCCTGAAAGCCCTAATACAGTACTTTTTCCAGGATAGGTACTAACTAAGATGTTTTGAAAGAATAAATGAATTCTGACATTACCCTATCAAAGCAGGCAATAAAAATGTATAGGTGTGGCCCTGACCTTGTTGGAGCATTGCCCCCAATACACCAAGGTTGCAGGTTCAGTCCCCCTTCAGGGCACATATAAGAATCAACCATGAATGCATGGATAAATGGAACAACAAACAGATGCCTCTGCCTCTCTCTGCCTCTCTCTCTCTCTCTCTCTCTCTCTCTCTCTCTCTCTCTCTCATCAATAAATAAAAATTTTGCCCAGCCACTGTGGCTCAGCAGTTGAGCATCGACCCATGCACCAAGAGGTCGCCGGTTCGATTCCCGGTCAGAGCACATGCCCAAGTTGTGTGCCCAGTCCATGCAGGAGGCAGCCAATCCATGTTTTCTCTCATCGATGTTTCTGTCTCTCTCCCTCTCCCTTCCTCTCTCTCTGAAATCAATAAAGAAAAAATTAAATTAAATAAATAAATAAAAATTTTAAAACAAGAATGTACGTATAGGTGTGTGTTAGGGTTGGGGTGGGGCACTGAGGTCCTGGCAAGGTTGTAGGAATGAACACCTTCAGAATATCCTAATCCTGTGAGTGTGATAAAAGAAGAAAGACATGCCCTGGCCAGTTTGGCTCAGCGGTTAGAGCGTCGGCCTGCGGTCCGGAGAGACCCGGGTTCGATTCCCGCTAAGGGCATGTACCTCGGTTGCAGTTTGTCCCCGGCCCTGGTTGGTCGTGCGGGTGGCAGCCACTCGATGTGTCCCTTCACATCGAGGTTTCTCTCTCTCTCCCTTCCTCTCTCTCCCTCCCACTCTATCTGTACAAAAAATGGAAAAATATCCTCGAGTGAGGATAAAAAAAAAAAAAAAGAAGAAAGACATGAGACAGGGTGTGGCAGAGTGGCAGGTCCAAACACAGAACTGGTGTTAATCACTCCTTTGACAAGAGAGAAACTTCCAGTTGTGAAGTATTGTATGTGTAAACAAGTAACACTCACCAGTGAATAGGAAATAAAAGCAAATGACTTAAGAAGCCTCCAACTGAATTTATTGTGGTATAGACAGGTGATAACAAATAATTCAAATATATTTAAATAAAGTCTGATATAACCTGGAATATCTAAAATAGAACACCAGGACAACACTCTGCTTGCTCTAGGGCTAGAAATCACCAATAGAAAATATGAAAATCAGATATTTATCTTGAAAACACCAGGAAATAGAACAGTGTGCCAATCCTTACAACCTCCCCCAGGTTCCCACCACTTTTCTGACTTGCCCTTTCTTGCACTCCTTCAAGTCATTAACGCCTCTCAATTTTTTAGACTGAATTGCTGAATAAGAAATCTTTTTCAAAATAAGACTTTTCTCCTTGTTGCCATCTGGTTCAAGTCAAAAGGTATAACTTTCGCACAAAGGGAACTATTAGGAACTCTAGGCTCTGGGAAGACTGATACCAAGGCCTCTTGCCAGTCTAGAATCCTGTCTCTAGAAGCTACTTGTGGCTAACCTCTCAGAAATCACATAGGAGTCACATCACATAGGAGCTCCCATTCTGCTTAGAAGCTTTACCTGGACAACAAGGTTTAGAATTTAGCCAGTTTCAAAGTTGGCAATAAACTGGCGTCAGCAGGGTAATTTTATCACAACCTCCTCTTTTCTACATAGCCAGTCAGAATCTAGCCAAGCTATTTAAACCCCACCATCTACTTTCTCTTCCAATTGCCTCTTATCCAGCTGGCAGGAGCTTCCAAGAGATGTGATATAGTAGGCACTGCAGTATACTGGCTGCTTGTTGGGGTTGGAATAGACCTGTTCAGGTTTGAGGGACGGGAAAGGGTTGGCTCCATAGGCAATGATGTGCATATCCAGGTCTAACAGAATCTGCAAAGAGGCTGCCAACTCCTGGTAGCTATGGGAGACAGATAAGAAAAATTACTCTGCTGATTATGAGAGAGAAAGGAGATAATCTGCTGAGAACTTGGCATTTCTGGACTCATCAAGCCCCAAAGTTACCTAAGTTTGGACTAGGCAAGAGCTATCCCTCTCTTACTCCCTCCCAAATGTCTCACTAATTATCAGCTTACTACTAACATAGGCCTTTGTTTCAAGGGGACGAGAAAGTCAAGTGTGAGAAGGATGAAGATCCTCACCAGAAGGCAGAAGATGAGCAAGGGAAAGAGAAATAAGCTCATCTATATAAGTAGAGGTGTGAGTGAGTCAGGAAGGTATCACAAATAGGAAGAGGTCCAAACCTGTAAACAGTAATCAGTGTAGGGATCTTATAATCACGAAGTAGCAGAAGGGTGGGCAGCCAAGCCTCCATCAAGTCCGGGGAAGCGTGAAAACCTATGGAATAGAGAGGGGAAGACCTTAAGCAGATAATTCTCTATGTCCACCTAATATTCACCTTGCTCACTTCTAATGCTCATTTACCACTGTCGCCCACCCCAGGTTCTTCAATGGAAAATTCTGAACTCAGGTGTAGCACATATGGCTAATGATCAACAAGGTCATCATCAAATTGTGTTTAACCTGACCAAAGGAATGGGGCTCCAAAGATAGAAGATACAAGAACCAGAATGGCACCCTGACTGGTTTGGCTCAGTGATTAGAGTATCGGCCCTTGGACCAATGAGTTGTGGGTTCGATTCCAGTCAAGGGCACGTACCTCAGTTGCAGTTTGGTCCCAGCCCTGGTCAGGGTCATGCAGCAGGCAACTAATCGACATCTCTCTCTCAAATCAATGTCTCCTTCTCTCTCTTTCTATCTCTCTGTCTCTTTTTCTCTCCCTCCCTCCCTCCTTCCCTCCCTCCCTCTCTATCTGAAGAAAAATGGAAAAGTATCCTTGGATGAGGATTAAAAAAAAAAAAGTCAGATGGAAAATTCTCAGGGGACCCACCTAATATTCCCCTGAACAAATAACTCTTACCTGGATGGAATGCCACCACCAAATCTGGATGGGCTGTCTGCCCAGTCTCTACCTGCTCCTCCCAGAAGTTATGATAGAGGCCCCTATGGCCACTAAGCTGAATTGTGCCAGGTTCCACAGGTGAAGTTGAGGTGCTCTGTGAAAAGCCAGCAGCAACATCTACACCCACCATTACTATACGGAGGCCAAGGTGTCCAGGAAACATGTAACCAAGCTCATCATAGTCCCCGGGGCGAGTGAGAAATGTCTCCGCATGGGAAGCACCAACTATATGCACTGTGCTTCCTCCGATCTTCTTAACATTTATCCCCAAGGCCCGAAGCCCAAAGCCCAGTGTCAAAGGCCGTGATAGGACATCCGTCAGGAGTCGCTTCAAAGAGCCCTGCAGAACATCTGGGTCTGGCCTTGGCCTTCCTACACTGGCCCACAGTGTGGTCATGGCATGACTACCTAGCATAGCATCCAATGTAGCATCTAGCTGTAAACGTCGCATGGAAAACCAGGTGTCCCAGCCCTGTATAACTTCAGCCAGCCATGGCCAAGGTCCTGAGGGTAGGACAAAATCTCCTGCAGAAAAGAAAGAATAAGAAAGAAGTGGCCTAATCCTTTCCTGGTTTCAATATTCCTTCTATTTCACTCTCCTAACCTGTAACCAGGAATGTCCCACTACCCAGCCCCACTCAGTTCCTCATAACAACATGTTTTCATATCTCTAAGTACAGTCAACTTTGACCATTATGGCAGAGTTCCCCAACACCACCACTCCACCTGTGACCAGAAGCCATTCCATGAGACGGTCCACAGCTACAAGACGCAGCTCTTGACAAACCCTCCTGTGTGCTGGCCAATCTGACCTCTGGCACTCCGGACCACAGTAATAGACATTTCTGCACCTGAGAGAATAAGCCCCAAACATATTTGTTCCTAAGTTTAAAACTTAGAGAACATCTAGGGAAGAGAATTGATATTCCTGTTCCTAGAAAGAAGTACTACTGGGTAAGGAAGACAAGGAGAGGAATGGTGGCTGATGCACCAAATTTGGGGACTATTTTTGGAAGGAGGACAGGAGATACTGGGAATGCAATTTCTTTCCTGGGTCAGAGTGACACCTCAGTCTCTACCGGCAACAACTCACTTTTTATATCCCTTACTGGAAAAATAACTCCAGGAGTTTGTGGCTGCCCTCTTATCATGGGTATGTCTCGACTCCAACCTCCCCAGAACAGATTATGGTCTTACCCCTTGAGTACTCAAGAAGAGGAAGGGAGAGAGGATAGTACTGTGATCTCTGTCTGACTTACCCATAACACAAAACATAAGCAGGAGCCCAACCCTTTTCTAATCTCTCTGTGGTCTGGATCATACAAAATGAAGAGTAGGCCTTAAATTATTCTGAAAATGCTCAGACCTTCCCTCCCACAATGAGATCTTAGAACAGGACCATTTCTGGATGTCTCCCCTGTTAGCCCCTGACTGGTCACCTCTTGCAGTGCCGGAGGACCTTGGAGTCTGAAAGGCCACTAGGGAGTACTCTACAGTGAGCACAGAATCGGAATGTGTCCTCCATCTTCTGGAACATTTCTTCAATGCATCGAAATCCAAAGCCTGATACAGGAGTATCCCCATCTATCACCAACCTGCAGAGACAGCATGAAAAGGAGCAGCAACAGGAAAAAGAATATCTCCAAACTCTCTCATAACTCCTCCCTTGTCTCCAACATACAGGGGTGGGCAAAGGTAGGTTTACAGTTGTTCATATGGAAAAAGACAATACAATGACTAATAAATAGTAATACAAGAATAAACTCTGGCTTCCTTTCCAATCCACCATCTGTGGTGAAATTGCCACCAAGATGCAGATTTTCATGAAAGCCCTTACAGGGAAAGCCATCACTCTCGAGGTTGAACCCTCAGATACAACAGAAAATGTAAAGGCCAAGATCCAGAGTAAGGAAGGAATTCCTCCTTATCAGCAGAGACTGATCTTTGCCCACAAGCAACTGGGAGATGGGTGTACTTTGTCTGACTACAACATTCAAAAGGACTCCACTCTCCATCTTGTGTTGAGACTTCGTGGTGGTGCTAAGAAAAGGAAGATGAAGTCTTGTACCACCCCAGGAAGAATAAGCATAAGAGAAAGGTTAGGCTGCTGTCCTGAAATATTACCAAGTGAATGAGAAGGCAAAATCAGTTGCCTTTGGCGGGAGTGCCCTTCAGATGAATGTGGTGCTGGAGTTTTTATGGCAGCCACTTTGACAGATGATATTGTGGTAAATGTTGTCTGACCTATTGCTTCAACAAACCGGAAGACAAGTAATTGTATATGGGTTAATAACAGACATGAACTAACATTAAAAAGAGGAAACTCTGTTTTGCACACTCACAACCGTAGACCTACTTTTGCCCATCCCTCTATTTCTACCTACTGCCATCATTTCTGACTTAAGCAAATTTTATATCTATATAGAGAGAGATATTAAATATGCACTTTTATTTTTATTAACTTTTTAGAGGAAGGGGGAGAGAGAGAAAGAGAGAGAGAAGCATCAATATGAGAGAGAAACATTAACCGGCTGCCTCCTGCACACTCCCGGACCAGGGATTGATCCTGCAATCTGGGTATGTGCCCTGACTGGGAATAGAACCCACCACATTTTGGTGTACGGGACGACACTCCAACCAGTTGAGCCATGCTTGCCAGGGTACAAATTACACACACACACACACACACACACACACACACTCATATACACACACACACACACACACATAAAATATATATATATACATATATATTTTTTTTCCATCATTGATTTTAGAGATAGAGTAAGGGAGAGAGAAACATCGATGAGAGAGAACATTGATTGGCCACCTCCTGCATGCCCCTCTCTGGAGATTTGGCCCACATCTTGGGCATGTACCCTGACCAGGAATCGAACCAGCGACCTCTTGGTGCATGGATCGACGCTCAACCACCGAGGCACACCGGCCGGGCATATTTTTAAATTTCTATAGTAATAAACTGGCAAAAGTCAGGGTGAGAAAAATCCCTTTTAGCAAATACCCCCTTATCCCCAAGTTATATTCCCTCTCCACGTTTTGAAATTACTTCTACCAGAGACAATATATTTGCTCTTCCATAGATCTAGTCACTCACTTGTATTCTTCATAGCTTTTCATGTTCAGCTTTTGAAGAATAAGCTGGGATAGGCCAGGAACATTTTTCTCCAAGGAGTAGAAGCCAAGTGCATCAATGCTAGGGCCAGGTTTTGAGAAGGTCAGAGGCACAGGAGTCACAACTGTGGGTGGAGTCACAACTGTGGAAGGGGTCACAGCTGTGGGAGGGGTTACAGCTGTAGGAGCCATTGATGAGAGAGATTTCTTGTGCCTTCGTCGCCGGGGCCGTGGAGCCATGACCTGTCCACTGATACCTGGAGACTATTTGTGGACAAGATATGGAATGATATTTTGCAAGATAGATACATATGACATATTTTCACATGTTTGACCTTTCTTATTCTAGTTTCTCAAACCTAGGTATCAGCAAGGTTTATTTTTTATCTACTGATTATTGATCACTATGGGCAGTTGTGAAAAACAGAGGGGAAATGTTACATATGAAGTTCTATATAAAATATAAATATATAGCCCGACTGGTATGGCTCAGTGGACTGAGCGTCATACCATGGACTGAGAGGTCCTGGTTCAATTCCAGGTCAGGTCACATGCCTGGGTTGCGGGCTCAATCCCCAATAGGGGGCATGTAGGAGGCATCCAATCAATGTTTCTCTCTCTCACATCGATGTTTCTCAATTCCTTCCTCTCTTTCTAAAAAAAAATCAATAAAAAAATATTTAAATTTTTTTTAATAGATATAAATATATGTAAGTAATGCACAGAAAAAGGTCTGGCAGGGCTCATCTAAAACCAATAAAAGTGATTAACTGAGGAAAAGAGACACTAAGATAGGAACTGAGTTGATCAATGGAGATTTTAAACTTAATTGTAATGTTTTACTTTTTTATACAAAAAATATATTCATGTAGTATTAGTGTATTTAAAAAATCAACTTAAGGACATACAAATGGCTAAGAGACATATGAAGAAATGCTCAACATCACTAATCATCAGAGAGATGCAAATTAAAACCACAATGAGGTATCACCTCACACCTGTCAGAATGGCCACCATCAACAAATCATCAAACAAGTGTTGGCGAGGGTGTGGAGAAAAGGGGACTCTAGTACACTGCTGGTGGGAATGCAGACTGGTGCAGCCACTATGGAAAACAATATGGTGTTACCTCAAAAAATTAAAAATTGGCCCTGGCCGGTTTGGCTCAGCGGTTAGAGCGTCCGCCTGCGGTCCGGAGAGACCCGGGTTCGGTTCCCGCTAAGGGCATGTACCTCGGTTGCAGTTTGTCCCCGGCCCTGGTTGGTCGTGCGGGTGGCAGCCACTCGATGTGTCCCTTCACATAGATGTTTCCCTCTCTCTCTCTCCCTCCCACTCTATCTGTACAAAAAAAAAAAAAAAATTTAAAAATTGAACTTCCATTTGACCCACTGATCCCACTTTTAGGAATATACCCTAAGAAGCCTGAAACACCAATCAGAAAGAATACATGTACCCCTATGTTCATAGCAGCACTATTTACAATAGCTGAGACCTGGAAACAGCCCAAATGTCCATCAGTAGACGAATGGATAAAAAAGCTGTGCTACATACACACAATGGAGTACTATGCAGCTATAAGAAAAAAAATCTCTTATCCTTTGAGACGACATGGAGGGACCTGGAAAGTATTATCCTAAGCAAAACAAGCCAAACAGAGAAAGACAAGTACCATATGATCTCACTTATTTGTGGAATATAATGAACATAACAGTCTGAGGAATGGGGTAGTTCCAGAGACGTGGAAGTGGGGTACAGACTGACAATCCCCAGAAGAGGGGGTAGTGGGGGAGAGATAAGCCACAGAACTTAAATGCATGTATGCGTGAACAATGAATGGACATGGACAACAAAGCTGGGGACAGGGCAGGGAGGGAGAGGGAGGGGGAATCAGTGGGGGAAAAGGAGAAACATCTGTAACAAAAATAAATAAATTAATTAAAAATAAATAAATAAATAATAAACTTAAAAGAGAGGAAAAAGCAACAGCAGTTTTGGCTGTACATAACGACCAATCTAATTTAGTTGGGAAAGTAAAATATTTGTTTTAAAAACCTATCATCACATTTATAAGCTAACCAAGAAGTGAAAATTAAATGCAATACAAAATGAGTACCACAATGCTGAGAGTTATGTAGTCAAAGCAAGTTATGTATGAGAAAAATTTCCTAAAGAGGTGAGTTTTGAAGTAGAATAAACCCTATACCGACACCCACCCACTACCCAGCAGGAACCCTGTGATTCCCTCCCTCCTTGGCTTACCATTCCTTCCACAAGTGCTGAGTCAACAAAAGGGACTATATTAAAAGAAATAAAAACATCCATTCATTCAATAAATATTTATTGATAAATCATTTACAAAATACTATAATGAAAAAAATTGTGAAAAATATACTTAACATCTAAATGTCTTATAGAGGGATTAAATGTAAACTATAGTATAAGGCAGCATATATATCCTATAAGAACAGTGAAACTAAAGCACTAATGGGAGATCTAAAGAAGTGAGTCTCTTCATAGAAAGATTTTATGAAACAGGGAGTAGTTGGAATAAGCCAACAATTTTCAACTAGTGTGCCGCAAGAATTTTTAAAACATGTAATTCAGAGGCACTGATTTAATAAAAGGGACAACTCTTTTCCCTTATATTATCAAATAAAAAAAAATGACAATCAATACAATAGCCGTGCAGTGTGAATAAATCAGAATTATAGCTTTTTTTTTTTTTTTTTAATCAGATCAGTAAATATATATTTTTGGGGTGCCGCAGAATTTTTGTAATTAGTTTATGTGTGTCATGAGATGAAAAAGGTTTAAAATCGCTGAAAGGGACCAAGAAAGATGGTAATACTTTGAATACAAAAAGAAGAAAAGGAATTCTAAACACAGAGAAGAGCATGAACATAGAAATAAAACATTCTGGGAAGTTAGTGGAATAGAATGGTTTGAGCTTGATTATTGAGTCTAAAGACCTAAACATAAGAGTTAAAATTACAATCTTATAAATTATTTTTTTTTTGGTACATGCCCTTAGCGGGAACTGAACCCAGGACTCTCTGGTCCGCAGGCCAACGCTCCAACCGCTGAGCCAAACCGGCCAGGGCAAATTACAATCTTATAAAAACACACAGGGGAAAGTTTCATGATATTGGATTTGGCAATTTCTTAGATATGACACAAAAAGTACAGGCAACAAAAGAAAAATAGATAAATTAGACTATATCAGAATTAAAAACTTTTGTGCAAAGGACAGAGTGAAATAGAAAATCATGGAATGGGAGAAAATATTTGGAAATCATATACCTGATAAGAGATTAATAGCCTGAACGTGTGAAGAATTCCTAAAACTCAACACCAAACAACCCAATTAAAAAGTGGGCAGAAGACCTGACCAGATATTTCTCCAAAGAAAATACATAAATTGCCAAAAGCACATGAAAAGATGTTCAATATCACTATTGTTGACAAAAGAACATCCAGCCTAAGAAAAAGTTTTATGAGAGTTTATTTGAACCAATCTGAGGTCAATTGCCAGGAAGCAAAATCTCAAAAGATTTTAAAAATGCTCCAGAGAACGACAGTTTTGCAGCTTATTTTTATATATTAGAATTAAAGGAAGAGCCCTGGCTGGTTTGGCTCAGCGGTTGGAGTGTCAGCCTGAAGTCCAGAGAGACCTGGGTTCGGTTCCCGCTAAGAGCACATACCTCGGTTGCAATCTGTCCCCGGCCCTGGTTGGTCGTGTGGGTGGCAGCCACTCAATGTGTCCCTTTCGTGTAGATGTTTCTCTCTCTCTCTTCCTCTCTCTCCCTCCCACTCTATCTGAACAAAAAATGGATAAATGTCCTCGGGTGAGGATAAAAAGAAAAAGAAGAATTAAAGCAAGAGACAGAAGCCCTGGCAGGTTTGGCTCAGCAATAGAATGTTGGCCCGTGGACCAATGAATCCCCGGTTCGATTCCAGCCAAGGGCACTACCTCGGTTGCAGTTTGTCCCTAGCCCTGGTCAGGGTCGTGCGGGAGGCAGCCAGTTGACGTGTCCCTTTCACATTGATGTTTTTCTCTCTCTCCCTTCTCTCCCTCTCTCTCTACCTGAAGATAAACAGAAAAATGTCCTCGGGTGAGGATTAAAAAAATAATAATAAATGAAGAGACAGGAGAAAGGTTACATGAAATCCATTGGTTTCATAGGGGAAGGGCACATAATAGGAATAGAATCACAGTTGTTTAATAATTATTCACCTTACTAAATATAGATGTTTTCTTACAGACCCTGGGAAACTATGGCGGATGCAGTGTGAAAAAGGAAAACAGAGTTGTAAAGATAAATTGCCCTTGAAGTCCAGGTGGCTCCATCACTCAGAAAGAAGATACATTTTGAGAGCAGACCAAGGACAGGACACACGCCTGAAGGGAGACAAATGGTTGAGAGCTAATCTTTACCAGGACAATAATAGAGAGCAGACCCTGGGAACTCTTGTAGTTGTTAGACTTTTTTTTCCCTCACCTTTTAACCTTATATAACGCTGGCTTGAGAGATGTCAGAGTGGTCCTTTCAGGGTGTAACACCTGGTCCTTTCAGGGTGTAACACCTGCTGCTCTCTCAGATTGCCAGCTATCTGATTAAATAAATGTATCATAAAGATTCAACCTTGTCTCTACTTAATTGACTCTGGTAGCAGTGGGCAGCACAGACCCTTTCATGTCGTTTCATTGGTAGATTAAGGGGGAGGAAGAAAGAAAAATAGGGAAATCTCTGGAATTGGATAAAAAATAAGAGACATACTTCTTTTACATTGGTGGGTACAGTATCATTAGTAATTAATATTTACAGCACATATAGTATTCAAGGAAACAAGATGACAATGAGGAGTTCTGTGGTCTCCTGCTCTGGTGCAGTGGGTATGCCCTGAGGGGTCTGGAAAAGACCATTATTCTGACATTTCAAAGGTATGTTATTTTAGATGCAAAAAGACAATAGACAGGTTCATTTAGTAAAGACTGACCTTTGTCAAGGAAACTACAGGCCTAGGACATGCCTACCAGCATGACCTGCTTTTAGTTAGGAAGTTTTATGTTCAGACCATCCTGTGTGGTTACTTGTGGCCCACCACACTGGCCTCTCCTGAGTTTGACAGGCTTAGTGTGTGGCCCCTTTTTTTGTCCAAACTAATCATTAGGAAAGTGAAAATCAAAACCACAACATACCACTTCACACCCTTTGGGATGGCTATTGTAAAAAAAACAAAAAACAGAAAATAACAAGTGTTGGTGAGGTGTGGGAAATGGGAACATTTGTACACTGATAGTAGGAATGTAAAATAGTACAGCCGCAATGGAAAACATTAAGGCGGCACTGCAAAAAAGTTAAACACATAATTACCATATGACTCAGCAATTTCCCTCTGAATGTCTACCCCAAATCATTGGAATCAGGTACTTAAACAAATGCTTATACCCATATGTTCATAGCACCACTATTCACAATAGCCAAAGAGTATAAAATCCCCAAAAGTCTACCAACACATGAATGAATAATGTGAAAAACAAGGTGGGGAGGGGCTTCTATGTAAAGTAACCTCACAGGGTGATCTGGTCAAAAATTCCTAACTGGGTAGGTCACACCCCCGGCATATAACTTTTATCTTTGCCTTAAGGAAGCTCTGTCCATTGTTTCTATGCATTTAGGTTAACATACCTATGAAATAAGCCTTACCACCTCATGAGCACATAATTTTGTTCACTATCCTGCAATCCAATCCCTACCTTGCTTTTTTCCATTTCCACATAATCTTCTTTAATTGCCTCCTTAATTTCAGCTGCAAAATTTATTCTCCGGGGCTTTGGAGAGTTTGCTCAAATGAACTCCTATAAAAACTTTTTACAGGTTTGGTCATTTCTTACTTTGACAATAAACAAATTGGGATATGTATAATGGAATATTATTCAGCCATAAAAAGAAGTACTGATAGATGCTACAACATGGATGAGCCTCAAAAAACATTATGCTAGTGCCCTGGCCGGTTTGGCTCAGCGGTTAGAGCGTAGGCCTGCAGTCCAGAGAGACCCAGGTTCGGCTCCCGCTAAGGGCATGTACCTCGGTTGCAGTTTGTCCCCGGCCCAGGTTGGGTCGTGTGGGTGGCAGCCACTCGATGTGTCCCTTTCACGTCGATGTTTCTCTCTCTCTCCCCCCCTCCCACTCTATCTGAACAAAATATGGAAAAATGTCCTCAGGTGAGGATAAAAAAAAAACAAAACATTATACTAGTGAATGAAGCCAGACATAAAAGGTCACATGTTATATAATTCCATTTATATGAAATATCAAGAATAGGTAAATTCAGCCCTGCTGGTGTGGCCCAGTGGTTGAGCATCAACCTATGCACCAAGTCGCCGATTCGATTCCCAGTCAGGGCACATGCCCAGGTTGTAGGCCCGATCCCCAGTGGGGGGCGAACAGGAGGCAGCCAATCTGTGTTCTCCCTCATCCATGTTTCTATCTCTCTCTCCCTCTTCCTTTCTCTCTCTCTAAAATCAATAAAATAAAATAAAAAATAAGTAAATCCAGAAACAGAAAGAATCATGGTTGCCAGGGGCTGGGTGGAAGAGGGGCATGGAGGGTAACTGCTTAATGGATATGAGGTTTTCTTTTGGGGCGATGGAAATGTTTCGTAACTAAACAGAGGTAGTGGTTACACAATATGAACATACTAAATGCCATTTTATTCCTCACTTTAAAAGGATTACTTTTATGTGAATGTCACCTCAATTTAAAGAAGAAAAAGGTATCCATAGAGGCTGAGAAGCTAAAACATTATTAACCCCTAGATTAACTGTCTCCAGGGACAGGGAAATATGAGATGATAAAAATACTGACAGTGGTTGGTTTGAATGAGGTAACTAACTATAAAAGTTCAAACCAGGGATCATGTTTTGTTACAAAAATGTTCTGACATTTAACCCTTCCAGACCAGATTTGTTACGAAAAAAACTCCAGAATCATCATTCTAATATCCATTATCTTACAACAATGGTTCTTGCAAACCCCTGTCCTCAGGTTAGTGGAAGAACTAATTTAGATTTTCCTTTGTATTTTCTTTCTCCTCATCCTTTCATTCCACCCCTTTAATCCTTCCCCCCTTGTCCCAGAGATGGATGATTTCAGAGTCCACAGAACAGAGAGCTAAACTCATCTGCATACCCTATCTTCTAAAGTCCCACCAATAAAGAAGAAATTAGACCTAATAATAGGTTATTTTAGGATTTAAGGCTCATGTCCCTTTACTAAAGGTGGATAGGATT